GTTATTCTCTTGTGTTTTACTTTTATTCTGTTGTTACATTATGTATCCTATCTCATTTTATCTCATTATGCTTCATTTAAATCTACTTTATGTAATTCAATGCTTATTTATTTTATACTATTGTATTCTGTCATTAACTTATGTACTTATGTATTTATTTATTGGCTGTTAATTTAATTATTTAACTTAATTAAAGATAGAGGGTATTTATTTGGCCGTATTCTATTTTACTTTATTTTTGTTGTGACTCATTTGAACTTTATTAACGTTATTTTAGTCAATTTAAACTTACTTTATTTGGTTCAATGATATTTTATTTTATGGTTTTGTACTTAACTTGCATTCTGTCATAACTTATGTACTTAAGTATTTATTTATTCGGTTATTTATTTATTTATTTATTTATTTAATCGACCATAATGCGAACGCGGCTGCGATCGCTTCGATTGTTTCAACCTCGTCGAGAATCCGTTCGTCCATTTTCGATCATTTTTACTTACAACGCATCCTTTTTTTTTGCCAACTTACATAATTTCACATCTATACGTCCCCTTGTCGCAGTTTATTTATTCTCATCGTTCGTATCTCTTGCGCGTGTTTCGAGATGAAACCTAAAAGCGTATCTGTTGAAAATTTGGGAAATCTGCTCGAGCAAATAATCGATAGAGCCCTCCTACGAGACAATGGTTAGTCTGCTGCGGTTCCTTCTTTATTTTCCCCCATAAAAATACCCATTCTTTCCGTATCAACTACCCTGATAGAACAAACAATACGATTTCATCCAACAACCGTTCACAAGCGGTACCACCCCAAGATGAAGGTGCTCGAACAACCGAAGAGTATTTACTACATTTTATTGTATTGTATTTTATTTAAGTCTACTTAATTCCATTTAAAAGAAAGAAAGTAATATAAAAGATAAAATAAAGGATGTATAAACCCTCAGGGGCCGCGGAGCTGCAGGCCGCGGTACGGGTGTCACGATCCCGAGGTGCCCGAGTTGGTGTGAATGTGGAACGAATGGGGGAAAAAAAAAAAAAAAGCGTGCAAGTGGAGGAAAAAAAAAAAAATGAATGAAAGAGGAGATGAAAGTAATTTAAGGCGCAAATGTAATTTAAGGCGCGAATGAGAATGAAAGCATGAGTGAAAGAGGTTAAAAATAAAAAACCTGTGGCCATGTTTCGCAGGAACGGGGGGCTTGCCTTAACCGGCTGGCCCAAGGGGAGACAACCTCTTTCAAAATCCTTAGCCCCAAGCTGCGGTGCGTGGTGAGGAGGGCGCGTTGCAGTCTTGCACACTGCAGCGTGGCTGGTGAGGGCACCAGTCGCTAGCGACCACCCCCGGGGAACGGGCGCCTCCCGGGTTGTAATAGCCTTACCCAGGCAAGGGCGGCTCTGCCTGGGTGGACCTTTTTGACCGACCCCAATCGTGGGATCAAGTATGGATTCATTTTTTAACACAAAAAAAACAAACACCGGGGTTGGGGGGAAGGAGAAGGAAGGACGTAAAGAAGGAAATGGTAAGGACGACAGGATGGGAAGGGAACAGAGGAAAGTCTTGGAGGAAATTTTGATATTGACAGAAAGGATAGGAGAAATATACAAAAGTAGTGGAAACCTTAGTAACGAAAAGAGGAAGGAGGCAGATGGGGAAATCACGAGGATAGGGAAGAAGGTAAGAGAAATAATGAAAGAAGAGGAGGTAGAAGTTGAGGAAGTAATGGAGGTGCTAACGGGATGGCCTGTGAAGGTGCAGAAATTAGTAGGAAGAATTGGGGATAGTAGGGGGTTCAGTAAGAATTTGAAAGAAGAACTAATTAAAGCATGGAGGGAGGGGGCCAGACAGGTGCAGGAATGGACGCAGTATAGGATGAGGATAGAAAGTGAGTTGGACACGGAAGAGAATACGGAAATGGAATTCGAAAACAGCGAAAGGATAGAAGAGGAGGGAAGCGGTACGGCGGAGGGGAAAAGGAAAAGGTCGGATCGGAACACCGATCCGGACGAGTCACCCACCAACAGAACTCCGCCAGGAAAGAAAAGATACGAGGAGAAAGAAGGGAATATGGATAGGGATATGAACATAGCCGGGAGGGACGGAGAAGGTAGTAAAATAGAGGCAATAAGGGTAAAGGTGCAAGCGGACAAGGGGGAAAAATTCGAAATAAAAGTACAGGAAATGAAGAAAAGAATAGATGCCAGCAAATTAAGTATAACGGGAATTAGGAAAATTAGAGGGTCAGAGGATATTTTAATATTAGTACAAGGCGAGAGAGATAAAAGGATATTAGAAAAAAGACTGGACGATATAGGAATGAGTATGCAGGAAATAGGGAAAAGGAAAGGGAAAATATTCATCCAGAATATAGAGCAGACGATCACGGAGGAAGAAATCAGGGAGGAAATAAGGAAACAAACAGGGGACGGCACAGCGGAAATAGTTTTCGTGAGAATAGGGGCCTGCATAAATATGGAATTGGAGAAGGCAAAAGAAGTTATTGCAAAGGGAAGCATAAGGTTGGGGTGGTGCAAATGCCGGATCAGCGAGTACGAACCGAGGTATAGGTGCTACCATTGTGGTCAAATGGGGCATACGAAGATACAATGTAGGAGCGCAGTGAAACTGTGCTACAAATGCGGGGAGGCAGGGCATGACGCGAGTGACTGTACGAAAATAGTGGAAAAACTGACAAGAATAAGGGAGGAAATAAGCGAAAAGGGAATGGAAAGGGTGGTAAATAGAGAAATTGAAAACATGAGGAAAATGATCAGCCCCGGGATAAGGGATGTGAGTGGTACGGTGGAAGATACAGGGGAAAAAACAAGAAGCATAGGAACACAGACGGAGGGGGATAGCGAAAGTAGAACGTGGGCGGAAAGGGTTGGGCAGAAGGCGGTAGTAGGAGGAAACGGTAAGAGCAAAGACGCACAAGGAAATGCAGGAAGGAGAGAGATGAGAGTCAGGAAAGGGGCGGCCGTGCTGGTAAAATCGGATAAGAATTACGATGAAATGCTGAAAGAATTGAAGGGCAAATTGGGATCACCCGGAGGCATAGTGATAGACAGAATAAGGAAAACTAGGACAGGAGGGGTTCTCTTTGAGATACAAGACCCGGAAGAGGCTAAGAGGTGGGGACAACAGATAAGGAGAAGTATGGGAGAAAATACTAAGGTTATGCGAATGATAGAAAGGGATGGTATTAAAATAAGGGGGATTGAGGGATCTATGGAAGAGAAAGAATTAAAAAGTAACATTATTAGGGAAACTGGAATCAGTGAAGAGGAAGCGGAACAGGTCGAAGTTGTCAGGATGATATTAGAACCATGGCAGGAAAAGACAGCCCTGGTGAAATTACCTAAAAAAGCTGCAGACGAATTATGTGTGAAGGGGAAAATGAGGATAGGATGGACACTCTGTAGGGTATTCAAAATGAGTAGGCTGTTGGTAAGATGCTGGAGATGCGGGAGGTACGGACATGGCTCCATGGAGTGCGAAACAGGGGGGGAAGTAACACAAACGGATAGAGCGATCGAGGAGGCAATTAGGGATATAAGAAGTATAGGGGAGGCTAAAAAAGGATATATGGAGGTGGAGGAAAGGAGGAAAACGCAAGGAAGGCAGGAAGAGAGGGCAGTAGTAAGGAAGCTCGTAAGGCAGAACACAGCTTAAAGGGGGAAGGAAGGAAGGAAAGGAAGGAAGGAAGGAAAGAAAGTAGGTAGGAAGGGAAGAAAAGGTAGGGAAGGGAAGGAAGGTAGGAGAGATAGAATGGATATAAAGGTTATACAGATTAACTTGAATAACTCAAGGATAGCCCTGGATAGCCTCAAGCAAATGATGTTGGAAAATGGCACGGATGTTGCAATTATATGTGAACCACCAAGGAATATAACAGGAGGGATGTGGTTCATGAGCCAGGACGGCAAGGCTGCAATCCTAGTTAAAAACCCGAAAATTGCAGTAGGCATAATTGAGCAGGAGCGGGGAAGAGTGGGATTAGAAATAGAAGCTAGCTCGCCGGCGTCTAATCCCCGGGCACACGCATTCACTGAAACACGGAGTCGAATGTTTGGGTCCGGGCTAGACGCCGGCAACTGTCACCGCGGAGCAATGAACTTCATCGCTCTTTCTCGCTCCAACCGCCGAGACATACGTCATCGGGGCAACAACCTCGCCGAGCGATCGTTCACCGGCGATCGATCCATTGGACCGATCTTTTTCGAAAATGTCCAATCCGGGTCGTCGGTGGCAGTCCCTCGGCGGGGTATAAAAGCCGGACGACGGTCCGCGGCGGGCGTATTCTCAAGGTGTTCTCAAATCTGATCCGAAACTACGCAATTACTTAATATCGCTGCCGCTCCAGCGTGTTTTCATTTTCATCATCGTTACAAAGTTTCGCGCTTTTATCGTTCACGATTCGGTGCTCCCGTACGTGAGGACTTGTACAGCGAGCTACGCTGACGTTTATCATTTAAGAGACATTATACTGTTTTATGTACTGTTGGTTGAAATCTGTATCCTTCCTAAATCTACATTAAAGTCAAAAGAAACAAAGTGAAATATGGCAAAGCTACTTAAGTGAAACTTAAGTAAGAAAAGAATCCTCTATAAACAAAACAAAATAGTATTGTAGATAGAAGGCCCGCCTCCTCACGGCAGGGACCGAAACACTGGGTCCAAGACCCAGTGGCTATATGGCCTTTATAAAAAGTAAATAATAAAAAGTACAGAAATATATGTATTCCCGAAAGGGAAGTATTCATAACAAAAGAGAAGCAGAATAAAATTTAAATCACAAAGAACAAGTCAGCAATAAGCTAAAGCTCGAAGGCTGCACAAAGGAAAGAGGAACAATATGTACAACGCATAATTTAGAAGTTATTCGAGCTGATCAACTTAGGTGTCTTACTCTGTATATATAATATTCTGTATCGTTTACTTCCGTATCCCGTAATACGATCAATTATTTGAAAATATATTATTTTAAATATGGACTAATTATAAGTGTGTTTGTCGAAACTGAACATCAAAATTCTTCCCTTTTCCAACCTACATTACTATCAAAAATTCGTTTTTATCGTTTCAAAATGCACAAAATTCATAAAAGTTACACTATGTATGTATAACCGTGATACAACAATATCGTCCAGGTAAATAAAGTTCCTTACAAACCAGATAATCAAATGTTTGTGAACTTTTGTGAAGTTACTGAAATTCGGTAACTTATATTCCCGAAAACTGGATCGCGATACAAGGTCGATTAGGCTATTTTCTGGCATAAATTCATTTCCATATTATGAATTTCTCGGCGGAGAGCTTGCATGAGTTTGGTCTTAGAGGTCATTTTAAACGACCCATATGTCGCCGCACCCCTAATTTATGTGCCATAATTTATTTTCGTTAGTATAGCATTAGCCTAATTTTTTCATTAGGAAAAAATTTTCGAAAAATTTTTTGAGAATTTTTGTATATCTTCGATTTTTTATTTTCCGCGATTTAATTTTCGCCTAATTCCACCTACACGTTGAACCAGTGGGTTTTTCATCTCCCCCCTCCCCAAAATTTCTTTTTATGGAACGAGAAATGAAGGAGTTGGTTCGGATTCCCGGGAGTTTAGGTTATAGAGTATCTACAGGGTGTCCCGTAATGCTAGGATCACCCGGAAATGGGGGATTGCTGGGGTGGCCCTGAACAACTTTTTCCTTATCCAAAATGTAGTTTGAAGCTTCGTTTTCGAGTTATTAACGAAAAAACGCCACCGGGCAAAAAAAGGCAGGAAGAAAATAAAGAAATAGAGGAAAAGGAAGAAGAGAGGGAGAAAGGAAAAGGGAAAACCCTAGCCATAAGGGTGAGGGTAAAAACAGAGGAGGGGGAAACGTTCAGTAAAAAAGTAGAGGAAATAAAAAAGAAAGTAAGTATTGGGCAAATTAAAATAGCTGGAATTAAGAGGGTAAGGGGTGGACAAGATATATTGTTTGTAATAGAGGAAGAAAGGGATAGAAAGACTCTGGAAGAAAAATTGCAGCGCATAGGGGTAGAGATGGTAAAATTAGGGGTAAGAAAGAGGAAAGTCTTCGTACAAAACATAGAGGAAACGGCAACAGAGGAAGAAATTCTAAGGGACATAAGAAGAGAAGCAGGGGGTGGCGAAATCGAACTTACTTTTACAAGACAAAACAGATTTCGGGGAAAAAACATATGTGTGGCAATGAAAAAGAGAACGGCAGAAGGGCTGATAAAGAAGGGGAAAATAAGGGTGGGTTAGTGTACATGTAGGGTCAACCGATTCAAAATAAGCTGTTTTAACTGTAGGGAAGAGGGACATGGGAGGGAACAATGTAAAATCAAGACGAAAATATGCTATCAATGCAAGGAACCTGGACACGACAGGAAGAACTGCAGAAAAGGGAAACAGGGAGAAGTGGAGATGAGAAAACCGAGAGGGGAAAAGTGAGGGGGGAAATGAAAGTGGAGGCGGAAATAATGGGAGGTGTGTCAACCAAACTCGGGAAGGGAAGACTAATGAAAAGGAGGTAGAGGATGAAAAGGAAGGGATAAGGATGAGGTCCATTGGGACGCAAACAGAGGACAGTATAGGAGTGATACCCTGGGCCCAGAGGGTAGGGATTAAGTCACGGGAAAACGGAGAAAGTAATAAGGGGACAGGAGTAACTAAGAGATTGGAGGGAAATAAAGACCAAAAAAGGGGTAGCCATTTTGGTCAGAAGTGAAAAAGGATATGAAAGAACGCTGAGGGAAATAAAGGAGAAAGTGGGGTCACCGAATGGGAAAGGAATTAGGGGCATAAGAA